TCCGCGGGACGCGCCCTTTGCGTTCGCCATCTCTACGGGACGGCTTAGGTCCATCGGGACCGTCCGGGGGAGGAGATATCAGCTGCGGTCCCCGGGGCCCAAGCCCCCCCGCCGTATCGCCGCGACGCCAGCTCCGCCCTCCGCTTCTTGCTTATTTTTAAAAGGCTGGGAGCTCGAGCTGCTGGCCTCAATGGCCGAGAGCCCAAAATGTGAAGCATACCAACGATTCAGACCCAGTTTAGCCTAGTCTAGCATGTTGCACACACATAGCCACTGGGTTCGAATGGGATTTGAACTGTGTCTCCTCAGACCATGTCCAGTGCTCTAAGCACAAAATCACATACATCCTCTAGCCAGACAATCATTCTTAGGCTCCAGAGTTCTGCTTTAGCATAGCATCCTCTAATGGTATGTGGGAAAGACGTTGGGAGATGGGGCAAAGAGATGCTGCCTAGGGAATGGTCAGATAAGAGACGGCATAGCCCGCAGCTGCATAATGGGTAGAGCAAGAGGCTCAGAAGAGACCCTACCTAGTTTCTTAGCAGGAGATTTGTATTTTTAGATTTGTACTTTTGCAAGATTTTGTTAATGCAGCCTTACATAAAAGTAGAATTAGCTCATCTGGTTGTGTTTCCTGTCTGGTCTATCTGGGAAGGCTGACACATCTGGTTGACTTGTAGAAGTCTTGAGCTCCTCAAAAACCACCCAGACAACCATCCATTTGCTCAAAGCATCCACTTACATTCTCTTGCCTTGCACCAGTTCCACATAGTCCTCTGAGCGGGCGTAATATTCATCCGGGCTGAGGGCGCCCCAAAAGTTAGACCAAAGCTTGCCATGGCGAGACATCATGGGAGCAATCACGTACCTGGATGGTGCAGAGAAGTAACAGAGAAGTCAGGACAGTAAAAGCCAGTGGGTGGGAGAAGAGGTGATATGGCCTGCAGCTGGGCCAAGTGCTGGGGTGGTGTGGAACAACTGCTTACTTGTTCTCCTGCATAAGTATTTGCAGGATTTCTGGGTTTGTCACCACCACATCGGCATCAAGGCTGAAGTAATAGTCACAGGAAGAATCCTGTCGGCACAGATCCCTGGGATACAAGTGAAGAAGATGGATTAGAATAGTGTTTCTCAACCTTGGCAACTTTAAGACATGCTGACTGGGGAATTCTGGGAGTTGAAGTCCACATGTCTTAAAGTTGCCAAGATTGAGGAACACCGGATTAGAACTTTGATGCATTGCTGCCCATTTCTTTCCACAAGCCAAAGATAGGAGACCTTGTAGTTGTCCTCTACAACCCCAGCATCCCCAGCCCATTTAGGAAGTAGGTTTGGTGACATCTGGAGACCCTGTGTTTTTCTCCATGATCCTCATAAAGCAAAGCGTTTTCTGGTCCCTTTTCCAAGTTCCCCCTGGGCTGCAAAGGTAGATACAATCAGCCAAGGCATTGAGGAAAACATTGGGCATGTGGAAAGGGTCTTTAATTCTCAGCTTGGCTTTCTTTAGTCCTTGCCCCCAGAAAAAGTTCTTCTACCTTTCAAAAGACTTTAGGTAGGTGGAGAGAGGGATAAGGGTTAAAGCTAGCAAGACAGGAACCAGCAGTTCTCAGGCTAGACAGAACCATTATGTAAATACTGAGCAGTTCTCCAGGCTGGGAAGACAATGGCCATATTTTTGATGGCTTAAAGGGAGGAGAAGAGTAGCATTTAAATCCTGGAGTAGACAAGTATCTAGTGTTTGATTTCTATCTTCTGGAGTAGGCAGAAGTTCCCCACTTATATGGCTTTTATTGTGTCTGGAATAAAGCCACTTATCCACATGTATTGAATCTGCTGTAAGCAAGTTCCTGAACAGGAAACGAAACGTTTGCAGAGTCGCAATGCATTGCTCTGCCTGGCCTGAAATCTGGCATTAGTCAAAACTACATAGTCAGACGTTAGCACTTAGTAGCAACAAGCAAAGATTTCCCAGTTGAATTTCTGCCTGGCTTTGCAGGAGGGAGGGGGATATGATGCCAGCCCTGCTGCAAATGTGCCTTTGGATCTCTGCTTTTGCTTCTGGCACACCATCCCCGCCCCCTACCCTGGTGTTTTCATACCAATTTACATAGCTGAAGCTGTTATCTCCTACCTTATATATACTTACATAGCCATATCTCGGGCTTCACCCTCACTCAGTTCCTCCTCCGGCCCTATCAGTTTGACGCTGGCAAAGGCCTTGCGAAGTTGATCCCACTCAGCTTGGATGTGGGGCTCATGATACACCTCCTGGCAAAACGTCAGATAGGTTAGTGCCCTTGAGCAGCCAAGATGGAAGGGGAATCTCAGAGCTTGAGTGAAAAGGTGTAATGGTATGTAGGAATGTCCTTGGGAAACAGGAGGAAGAGCCACAGACTAGACAATGGTCAGATAAGAGGCAGCTTAGCCCGCAGAAGGAATAGGGGCGTGCCAAGCATCTCAGAAGGGACGCCCCCCTAGTTTCTTGGACTGTAAACACAAGGGGGTAGAGATCTACTTTCAGACTTTCAAGATTCTGTTAATGTAACCTTACAATAAAGACAGAGCTAGTACTCCTGGGTGTGCTTCTTGTCTGGACTACCTTGCAAGGCTGACAGGAAGGCAGGAGAAATAGGATGGCTCTTGAACCCACAAGCCCATCCTCAAATCCCCCCTATTTTAACCACATTACGTTCCACCTAGCCAGCCCCACTCTGACCTTCCTACAAGCTAAAAGCATTTTATTGCTTTACATTTCATAGCACTGCTTTGAATGATTCCATGTTTCATATTTTTGCAAGCAGTCGCCATTTGCTAAGTGTAGCTTTTTCCCCCCCTTTTGGAAATACGCTTCTGTACTTAATTATATATTCAAATGGAGTATGTTAAGCTTTGTTGTTGTGCATTTTTTACATATTTTCCCCACAGATCTCAACTGTACAACTGGAAGAGGGGGAAATTAACATCTATTCCCTCCTCTCCCCCCAGGGAACCCAGAGCTATAACCTCTCCGATCGTTATCATGCCCAGCTGTGGATCTCATTTCAGCCACACATACTGTAGCTGAACAACAATCTGTATTAAAGAAATTAGTCAATTAAAGGAAGCTACAGAGTGGATGTTCAGTATTCCCAGCAGTTCCCCACAACATGGTGGCCCTCCAGAAGTGTTGGAAGACCATCCCATCCTCCCCAGCTGGCAGGCCCACTGGCTGATGGGAGCTGTAGTCCAAGGTCAAGTAGGGCTGCTTGATTGGCTCAACTCACATGGTTATGGAGGAAAAGGCTGAGGTGAGAATAAGGATAATCCAAAGTCAGAAGACGCTGGAGAAACTGAGGCAGGAACGGTGTAGGCTTTTCAATAAAGACACCCAGCAGAACACGTGGATATGACTCTTCCTGCCAAAGGAGGACAGGAAAAGAGATTTATGTCTTAAAATGCTCTACTCAGGCCCTTCCCAAGGCCCATCTGGATTGCATTCCTCCCCTGCTTTCAGCTCCACCAGAATTTCTAGAGACTCACTGGCACGTCCGAGAGGTCCAGGAGGTCATCATCGCACACCTCACATCCCCCCTCGTATGTCCAGGCATTGGGGATGTAATTCCCCAAATAGTTCAGCTGTAACTGCATGGAGGGAAGGAAAAGGTCAAGAAATGAGCTCACTGATGGAATGGAGCTCAGTTGCTCTGATACCTCCAAAACTGGATCGGGCTTTGGGGCTCTTGCCACCCGCAAGTGAACAAGGGAGGAATTGAATTTCAGATCTTTGGAGAGCAATGGCTATCGGAGAAAACAGAAGCCTTGTTTATCTACCCAGTCCCTGAACAAATGGAAACTCAATACCAGCTTTACAGAGCTGTACTTAGATCTTGCACCACTTCCTTCATAGCGTTCCAAGTTGGCGTACGGAGTTCCTGAGCAGGCAGAACTCACAGCCACTTAGCTATGGTGCAACCTGCAGGCTCAGTTCACAGGAACTTTGAACAGAGATATGCTCTGGGTAGAAGTTGTGCAAATATAAATTGTGCAGGGGAACGAGTTACCTTGGTAGGTCCATTGCCATGGATAACCACGGGAAGGGTATCATACGCAACGTTCCGGGCACGCACTCGGGTCTGCTCGAATTTCAGCACTACCTCGTCTGTAAAACCAGGAAGAGAAAGCAAAGTGAGCCAGGTTGGTGTAGTGGTTATGTTGCTGGCCTAGAAACCAGGAGACTGTGAGTTCGGGTCCTCCTGTAAGCACAAAAGCCAGCTGGGTGACTTTGGGCCAGTCACTCTCTCTCAGTCTAACTCACCTTGCAGGATTGTTGTGGAGAAAGGAGGCAGGAGTATGATGTTTGCCACCTTGAGTTGACCAAATAGAGATAGAGATAGAGATAGAGATAGAGATAGAGAGAGAGAGAGAGAGAGAGAGAGATAGATAGATAGATAGATAGATAGATAGATAGATAGATAGATAGATAGATAGATAGATAGGAAAATATAGATAACAATTACATAAAAATATGATGATGGTGGTGAGGATAGAAACGGATTCATTACTTTAATTTCTTCTGATTGAGAAGGTGCAGGGAGAGAAACAGAGCAGGAACACTGCCTCTCATCCTGCATGGTGACCCCTTCTAGCTTTCCAAATCCACCATGAACATGCCAAAGGAGACTGCTAGTCATCCACAATGGATGTTCTTCAAACACATTAAATCATAGAGGCCTTAACCAGAGGCATCCGTGGTGCGTCTGTGTGCAGATGATACAACAAGCATCACACCACTTCAGTGCAAACTCCACCTTTTTGTATGTACGTTGTGATGTTGTAGGCACGTACACAAAGTTGGTGGTTGCCTCATGCCGTCACTATAGTTGTTCTGACTAAATTGTCGGACATCTCTGGCCTTAATTCCGCTCCAAATTAGTTTTAAACTCCATTGGTGTTTGTCAAGACGAACAGGTCTCGTATTTTGAGAACTGTGCTCCAGGTCTCAAGATTTCCCAAACCCCGTCTACTCCCTTCCTTCTCCTCTCCACTTTTGAGTCTTTCCCTCCCTGCCCGAGATTTTTTTGCTGACTCTTCTCATCAAAAAAAACACCACTCACTCACCAATGGCCCCGTTCAGGTTCTGGAAGATTTTGGACGTGTGATCCAGGGCGATCCCGTATTTTTCCTACAAACACAGCAGTGAGGCACTAAGAACAGAGTCCTTTCCTTACACAATGAACAATTCTTGTCATCCTCCTACAACACCCTTCACGCTCCAGTTAAAACCAGACCCTTGGGAGGGACACTGAACTGTAGCTCAGCAATGTGGGGGGTAAATCCAGCCTCAGCTCCTGGTATTTTGTAAAGCTGGGTACCTTCCTGACTACAGCCACCCCAGTCATTGCTCCTTCAAAAGTGGGATGGGGAACCCTAAAGCTCAATTTAGCAACTCAGCCCATTTGTCACTGCATAACTTGCCTTTTGCACCTTTTTTTAGAGTCTGTTAATCATATGTTGCATGAGACCACATGCACCCCACATTCATTCCAGCTTTTCATAGATTGGTCCTGTTCCCAGAACAGACTTAAAACAGATAGTTACTATTCCACTTAAACCTCCTTACTGGTGGTTCTGGCACACCATCATGCTAACTGGGTCAAAAGTACCATTTAGGGGAATACAGAGTTCCCTGCCCAATCTGTCCAGCAAGAATTGGATATCCCATGAGCCCTCACACACCAGTTTACTGGCAGGACTTCATGACATCACTAGCTTCTTCCCCATTGGACAGGCAGGCAACAGTAGACCTGGGTCAGCCCCTGCAGCTGATCAGTATGTGGGCGGGGTGATTCCTACTGCTTTGGCAACGAGTTCCATCCTAGAGCGGCTTTTTTTCCCAGCCGTTCTTTCTCTTCTACTCGGTTTCCTGGAGATTAGAGTTGAAAAGCAGGGAAACTGACTGGGCTTGGCTATTCTCATTGACTGGGTGGAATGAGTTTAACTTTATGCAAGACCAGGACTGTCTTAAGCCAGCTCTCACCCCCGCATTGATGCAATAAAGCCCACTGTGGGAACATTGCTGTTGGAACGGCAATGTCAGAGTTGCATAACCCATTTTATCAAGTGGGGAATGAGGCCCAAATATCTTTAACAGAGGCAGAGTAACTGAAAGTAAGAGCCACAAAAACCAGAGAGTGAGTTTCTCATAGCACTCACACGCAAGGCAGGATCCAAGAAAATGCGTGTGTAAAACAGCTGGTCATCATCATCATCCTTGTACTTCCACAGCTGGACAATGCGGTTGATGACAGGGGCATAGCCGATGAACCCTGGAAAGCAGAAATGCCACAATGTGCTTTTGGGTGGTGCATAACAGGATAGTCTTAAGGACTAGAAACTTTTTTTTTTTTATGTTAAGCAAATGCTCATAAGATACTACACTTCTACGTTTGGAGAAGAATGGAATTTAGCTCATGAAATGGCTGGCTCACCCAAACATCAGGTGCTTTTTAGCACTTCGCCTGATCTAGAATTCCTTGAGAACCATCAGCATGGTGATTATCCTGTCCACTCCAGCCAAGACATGAAAATTGTCTTTCTGGAAATACACCAAGGCAAATCAGAGATCAAGGAATTCTCCAGGCCACTCTGTATTCTCTACCCATGCTGGCTTGTTATACCAACCCATAAACCGGCACTGCAGATGAACAATTTGGTATGGTGAGAACTTCTGGTTAAAAAAGGAGACTAAATACAAGTTTCTAGTCCATATGGTTGCTGATACAAACTTGTTAGTATCCAAAAGATGAATGGCTGGCATCAGCCTGAAAGAACAATAGTAGGAATTGTAATAGACACAGAGTGAACCTTCAGGGCCTCCCAAGGAGCTGGTTCACACACTGCGCTTAGCCATAAATGGTTCCTTTTATTTTTACAGGTAGTCTCGTTTTGCAACTGCCGTTGGGACCAGCAACTCAGTCATTAAGTGAAGTGGTCGCTATGTGAAATCACGACTGGGCTTATGATCTGACTTCAGATTTCCTTTGCTTTATAGACCCTGCGAAGGTCATAAATGTGAGGATTGGTCGCAAGGTTACCGTTTCATCACCATCATAACTGCAAATGGCCGCTAAATGAGGCTGTCGCTAAACGAGGGCTACCTGTTATAGGTTGTGGGAACCAAGTGATAGTTTCCATCGTGTTACCTGCTGCTGGAGTTCTGCAGCTATGGCCAATTGACATTCTACCTCTCCTCTCTCCCTGAGTTGTTGCTAATCTTGGTACTAATTCAAAACCTGTCCTTCGGTCCCGGAATTAAAATCACACCACACTCAAGTTGGCATAAAGTGCCTTCTCCTTATAGAAACAGGGCCTCCCTTCAATGGAGTTGGGAGTTGCTTGATGCCATCCTAGCCCCATGGCACCCTGAGCTCTTTACCTCCAGAGTTGAGGAAGCGTTTGCCCAAGGTCACCGGGGGGTACTTTTCAGCCAGGGACCACTCCGGCCAGCAGAAACTTTCCGCCGAGAAGACCAGGTTGCTCTTAAGCTGCAGGAACTTCCAAAGAAGCTCAATTGGGCTTCCAGCCAGGATCACATCATAGCTGGAATGAGAACCAGAAGGCAAGTTCTGGGTTAGTGCTTGAAACGATGCTTCCTCTCTACAGGCCAAGGGAACAGATGGAGTCAGTGGGCAGATGGAGAACCCACCATGGGCCAGGTTCAGCTTATGGATTGTGGCTGTTCCTGGAGATCTTCACCTTGCATGTCCTCCTCTTATGGATCCAGCCCACAACTGATCAGCCTTACCTGTCCACAAACATGACAATAAGATCCTCTTCGTTTGCGTATTTCTTCATTTCAGCCTTCAGCCAACGGACTTTCTGACCTCCGCCGACTGTCCGGGCAACATCCCCTCCTTTCCAATCTTCACCAAGCCCTAAAGTCTTGGAGAAACATCAGGGCAACTGGTAAGACAGGCGAGGGACGTTCATCTTTCCTCCAGATATTAAATTTTTTAAAAATCTCACTCTTCTAGCTTGAAATTCAGATGCTCCTGCCCAGGACATGACAGGTTACACAATGGCTTCTCCATTAATGCTGAATTTCTCACCCATCTACAAAGCATTCTGTCCTCGAGGTGGCACAGACGTTTCAGGACTACAATTCCCAGAATTCTCAGCCCCAGAAGTTGGCCACTGTGGATCCTAGGCTAGCTTTCTTTGACCTGTCCTGTAAAGGCGCCCCTACATATTGCAAGCACAAGCTGAGCTCAGATTAGCACTTGTATTTGGCTATGTTTCCACCCAACCCCCCCCCCCTTTTTTGATAAGATAGAAAGGACACACCTTGACCGTGTAGTTGAAATATTTGGCAGTCCGTAGAAAGCGCCGGTATCCCTCTGTTCTCTCCGTGGCAGCAGTTAGGACCAGAAGCTTGCCTGCAAACAGCATCGCATCAGAGGAGTTAGAAAGGGAATTCAAAATAAGAAGGCAAGAAAGGAAAATCAACGGGTTATTTTAGATCTTCCCACGTCTTCTGCTATCAAGACTAGGAGGTCAGGCTTAGGAAGGCTCCCCAAACGTTTCGGATGCTGTGGCATTTAGAGTGCAGGAAGCTAAACTAAACTGATTGCTTTCTCTCCATCTCCGACGATTTAAATTACTCGGATCCATTGAACTCAACTTGAACAGGAGAATTTCAGACATGCTCTTTTCCTTCCAACCTCGGGAGACGGATTCTGCAATCTCTGCTTCCAAAAACCACACAGAGTTCAGGCAGAAAAGGATATAGTGGCAGAGTTCACATAGAGTGCTGTGCCCAAGCAAATAAAGCATATTATGGCTTAAAAGAATGGCCTTGTTCACATATCACAAGAGATTCAAGCCTTTTTCATTCAGCCTTTTCATGTTATCCAAACCCAACCACTGAGGTTAATTTAAAATGCATCCATGGTGTTATTTGCTGCAGTTATTGATTTATGGCCTAGAGCTTAAGGCGACTGAAATACTTATTCCTCCTGATTTTACTTACACAACAACCTTGCGAAGTGAGTTAATCCAAAGGCATGGCTTGCCTTGAATGATTTCATAGTTGAGTGGGAATTTCAACCCTGGTCCCTCCCGACTAAGTCTAATGCCCTGATTGGGTTCATACTCAATGAAGTCGTGGCCACCACTGTTGAAGAAACTACTGTGGCCTGGTTAACCCCAAAGACCAAGATATAAGCCATTGTTCACAAGCCACAGTAGCTGGTTCAGCCCTAGTGCTGGCAGCAAAGGTGGTTTGGATCTGGTTAGCATCTTGGGCAAACTCGGGCACTGTTGCTGGCAAAATACAGTTTACTGCTTGGACTGTATGAACCCAGCTATGGTTTAAACCACCTTTCCCAACGTGCATATGGATGGACTTCAACTCCCAGAATTCCCCAGCCAGCATCACTACTCCTGAGAATATTGGGAATTGAAGTCTGCATATTTGGATGGGGCTTAGGCTGGGAAAGGCTGCAATGAACATGGAGAAGCAAACCATGGCATTAAAGGTTGTATGAACTCAGTCTAAGCCCTGAACAACCAAACGATAGGAAGCTGTGGTATAACAACATGCCAACCATGCTTCTAAGAGGGATCCAGATGTAGAAGGGGTGCTCAAGTCACATTTGTCCTTCAAAAGGAACAGGAAAAGTTTAAGGATGCTTCTAAAACTATACAACACCCCCCCCCATCCCAAGTTTCATTGTAATTCAACTTTATAATGTAAATGCTTCGTTCTAATTAAACCAATACTTCCAAATTACTTTCCTTGGCGAGATAGCCTAGAATATTTCCCAGCTAGGACAATTTTCAAATATGGGGACTTCAGATCCAGATGCCCCAGCCTGTAAGGCCTTGCTGAGAATTCTGGGAATTGACATCTCCACATCTGGAAGATGCCCAGCTTGGGAAACTGGGCAGAACCTTCTCAAATTCCCAACTTAAATCCAACAAGTTATACAATGGACAGAAATTCTAGGAATGTAAGAGGTGGGGCTTTTATTTCAAATTTTGGGCAGGGGGAGGGGAAAGTTTAGGGCAGGGAAGAGAGCAGGGGAAGGAAGGAAAATGGATGCCACCAGGACAGGCAATGTGGACATTTTCCATGTTCAGACTTGTTTAACTTGGACTCAGAAAGCAGCCTGAGCTATCAAATGCACATAAAACACACATCTACTGCAAGAATGTTGTGTAAACAGGCAAGAGGTTCACAAGCCATCAAGACTTCCTTGCAAGCATTAAGAGGGATCAGATGTGAGGTTCCCATGTGTCCTCTCTCTCTCTCTGTGCACATACATATAAATCAAGTTTTGGGATGGTTTATAGATCAGAATATAAAGTTAAATAATTACAAAGTTCTCCATTCAAGGAAGGTTCTGCAAAGAGACAAACAGGCCACTCATTTGATATGTGAGCTTAATGCAAGTTCATGGCGAGACAATCTTTTTTAAAAGTTGCATATATTTCTGTTTAGCAACGTCAGGAATCAAGCTGCTAAATTAAATTAGAATTGTATATTATATTGGAATTATATGTGATTCAACAGAGCCATTATTCTGTCTGGCGCAAGAATCATTGCATTTTAGTGGCATTGAAAAGAGAAAAAGAGCCACTTTTATAAGATGGTTTTCTCTGGAGTTACACAGAAGAGGTAATCTGATTAAGTAAGATGAGGAAAGAGGTGGGCAGTGGATTAAATCAGTGTTTTCAATTCTGGGAGTTGAGGTCCACACATTTTAAAGTTGCCAAGGTTGAAAAATACTGGTCTAAAGTTTAAACTCTGAAGCTTCGATATCCAAGTTTATACTGCAGAGGGCAATCAACTCTTATGTTGGAGGTTCCACCTTTGTCTGCAATAAAGACGCCAAGCTACTTGAGTCACGTCTGAGAGCCTTCTGCCAAACTCTGAAAAACCATACCCCAAATTAGGGTTCTACCCCCAATTTGCTTAGTTTCTTACCCATCCCACAGGAATGGCAGGCAAGGAAACTTCACTTGTTGCCAATGACACTACATAAAACAGCCTTCCTCAGGGGCTAAAGGACTACCATTCCCATCACCCCCCCAGGATGGTCAATAGACTGCAGCTCCCATTAACCCCATCCAGTATGGAACCCTTGAAGGACACTGATTTGGAGAAAACAAATATAAATATCGGTTTGTCTTTTCATTTCTTATATACATGCACAGAACGAAGATGCACCGTCGTCAAATTAGAAGTCTTGGATCAGACAGGAGCTAAATAACTACCGATCCAACCCTGTTTTTTGTTGCCCGCCCTCTGCTTTCATTTTATTCATTTTTTAGTTTGCAATAATTTTTACTGTTGTAATCTTTAGTAAAATTACTGTGAAATAGCAGCTGATTCAGCTTCTCCTTCTGTATCCACAAACTTTTGATGGTGTTCCAGACCTCCCTCCTAGAGACTGAATCCAGGGTGGAAAAAACCACAAAAGACCCATGATTCACACTTTTACAGCATTGGATTAGGAGTGAGAGTCCCTTAGGGATTGTCTAATCTACTTCCCAGCGTTGTTGTTGGGGGAATAAAAAGGAAGGGAGACCAATATGCTAGGCCAGTGTTTCTCAACCTTCCTGGCTGGGGAATTCTGGGAGTTGAAGTCCACACATCTTAAAGTTGCTAAGGTTGAGAAACACTGCACTAGGCTTTGAGCTCTTCGTAGAAAAGTGTGATCTAAATGGGATATTTCAATGAAACGAAATGAAATCACTGAAATCTATTTTTTCAGCAGCTCAGTGGAGTTGACGGCCTGGTTCACCCATAATGCCAAGCCACTGCTCGTTCAAATATGGTTTACTGACTAAACAATTGACGGGATTTGCACATAACCATTCAGTTGACCAATTATAATAACTGATTTCATACGACACACAGCTGTTCTCAACCTTTTTACCCTGGAGGAACCTTTGAAATAATTTCCAGGTCTCGGGTCACCCCCGCATAAAAATCCCCAAAAATATAAACATTTCACAATGCAATTCACTGCCAACCTACACAATCCACATCTTACGTCATTTATGACAGCAGCAACGTGCCAGGCCAGCAGCTGAGTCGCAGCACGCAAAACATTCCCACCACTGAGAGGGCTAGCATTGCACAGTGTGCAAATTAAAAAAAAAAAGTTTATTTTTTTCAATCACAATATCTTACGGAATCCTTGAGTTCCAGAGAATCCCAACTGAGAAAGGCTGGGCTAGACCAAAACGAAATAAATCTCTTCCCTTACCAACATCGTTAAACACCATTACTATAATTTCTATTTCAATTAGTCAAATATTATTTCATCATCACCAACTCTGCCCTCCTTTCTGCCCTGAAAGCAATGATATTTATTGATGCTTTAGAGTGACAGCACTTTGCCTAAATGTTCTTAAAAAAAAAAAAAAAACAGCACAGGGACTTCGTTCAATTTTAAAGAGACCCATTTTCTTGGAGGCCGTTTTCCAGATATCTAGGTGATTTTAGACACCAAGTCAATATCCAACAGCCTGGAGTTGTAGAAGGGCCCATTAGAAGCCAAGGCCCACAGACTTTCCTGCATTCCTGCCAAGGTTTTAATGCCAACGTGGCTCAAGGACATCTCTGAGCAGGTTGGCACTGATTTCTGCCAAGCTGGAAAGGTAGAAAATCCATAGGGAAATTTCAAGTCCTTCTGCGGTTTGTGAAAGCCACAAATGGTTGAGCTGACTCAATGTGTACAGCTTGATTACCAAATTAGACCAATTTTAGCACAGTGATTTATTGAAAAACTATCCAGACAGGCTGGATTTATATAACGTAGTAAATCACACACACACACACACACACACACATTCTAATTAAGGTTACTGTGATGTATAAATGTAGTCATTATGTCTTTGAAACAGTGAAGCATGTTGTGCAAATTAAGCCAAGGAGATGGCAAAATCCTGACTGGACTGTACCACTTCAAATCACTGGGGGGAGCAGAAGGCAGTCAGCCATTCTTTGAATATCTAATATCCTGTCTGCAAACAAAGACATAGCTTTGTGTGCCAGCTTATTGCTTATAGGAGTAATTTTTTAAAAAAATACAATTCGAACTCTGTCTAAAGCAGAGTTTCTCAACCGTAGCAACCTGAAGAGGTGTGGACTTCAACTCCCAGAATTCCCCAGCCAGCACGCTGGCTGG